GATACCCTTATTCCAACCTCTCTACTGGAGGACCTAGTACCATAAACCAGGGCCATCTACTTTGGGGACTTTCACTCCCTGAGTTGATGGACTTTGGCTTGCCACTTTTTGGGGGTTGAACCATTCCAGTGGCGGGAGCCAAAGTTTGGGTGACTCTGTTTGGCGGAAGTGAGTGGTAGATAGGAAGCAGAATCTGACAATACTTTGGCCGAAATCCCGTGGGAAACCATTCAAGCTATTGGGAGCAGCTTGGAGGAAGTTGCTTTTCAACCCTTAACTTGGTGGTTCCCAGCTGTCCAGTTCGAAGGTTGTTTTTTCTCGGTTTTTGGGGGTTTAGTGGTTGGGTTTCCATTTGACCCACAAGTCAAACACTTGAGCAGGGGATCAGAGAACACACAGCGCAGAAAAGGTTCCCCTGGGAAGGTTGTTTAAACAATGGTGTCAAGCGAGTGAATCACCGTGCCCTGGATCCCAAGAAAGGGCTAGCTTTTCGAGTGAGGAACCACCAGAAATGGGTGCGATTTGTAATTGAAAACCGGTTAGTGGATCATTTTGGAGGGGGTCCTAATGGAATTTTGTTGTTCAAATGGTCCGTTCCCATTTTCGAGAAGCTGTGCGGGATATGTTGAAGGGTTAGGTCAAGCCCCCTATTTTTCTGGGACAATGAGCCAATGTTCCTCAATGGTGCAAATCCCAGCTTCGTTGATCCCATGCAAGATTTGGTGCACAGGCGAGAGGGGGGGGGTCTGGAACAACCAACATCATTCCCTTGCGTCCCGAACAACACTTCAAACCGATCCCAAAAATGGTACTCGGGGGGAGAAAAAACAAGAGAAGCAACCCCATCTGGGCATGAGTTTCAATCGAGGGCCCTTTGGGTGGTCATAAAGGTTGGGATTCAAGCCACTTTGGAGCTTCCGTAGTAGAATTGTTGAGGCAATCACAACGGTTTCTGGATTTTGCCCATCCTCCCCGCACGGTGTGTGCGCTTGCAGGCAAAAAAGAAAGGTGTTGCACTCAAGACGCTCGGGGCAAAGAAGTCCAAGCTGGCTGACCAGCCAGAGTTGGGCGATTCTGATCTCGAAGAAATGAGTGATGGTGACAAGAAGAGCGCTGACGAAGCCAACTCTTGCAAGAAGGAACCGTCATTGTCAATCTAAGAATCTTACTTGACTGATTGTTGGCGCTTCGCCCTAAGGGATAAGTTGGCCAAGTTTTATGGGAGGCACCTTTGACCGGCTTCAGGAGTACCAGCAGTTTAAGAAGTTCGGGGACTCTCTCCTGTCCCGGTCCTCCAAGATGACCGATCTCATTGCCGTTCCCCCCCCCGTCCCCCCTGAAGCCTCGCGCGCCCGCGCGCACCTCCCGCGGTTCCATGAGTTGAGGCGTCCAGCGCCAGGGGCTGCGCAAGGTGCCACTGCTGGGCCGCGAGGCCAAGGAGGACCGGCCAAGGGGCGGCCTCGCTCCAATCAGTGCACCTTTCCACCAAAGATCGCCGGGTGGATTTCTCCGGGTTTCCTGGGTTTAGTGGGGACTCAGAAAATTTTTGGAGGGGAACTCCCTCTATTGATTAACTGGGGTTGATGAGTATCCAGGTCCCCCAGCCCCTTTTTTGGTTGGGAGATTCGGTTCCCCTACTAAAATTGATTACAGAAAAAAGTTGGTACCCCTCTCCACTGGAGGACCTAGTCGCTGGACGAACTCAAGGTTTGCTGGTACAAATGGAAGCATGTTGATGCATCAACATGATTGCACCCGTCAAAGGACGAGACCTTGCTTGAGCCTTTTTCGACTGGTTTACTAAAGGACCCGAATTGAAATGAGGGCCATTTCCAGCTCATTGCCAAAGGCACTGCCCTTCAACTCATGGATTTTTTTTTCTGGGATTGGAATCCACCGCAAGCGACTTGTTGGTATCACCAAGGGCTATGTTACGTTTCACAACCATGTCCGGCACCAACTGAGGAACCGAGGTCAAATCCCAACTCCTTTGCACTTGTTAAAGTAGTAAGTATACTTTTTGTTCATCTCTCTCCAGCCCCTCACTTTTGGAGCCCCAAATGAAAACCTCTTGTCACAGCCTTTCAAAAAGATGGGTTGGGAGTCCGCAACATCGGAAGGACGGCGTTATGCGTCCCACTGGTCTGAATGGCTTGACAGATCCCAGTTTCAGTTGGGTTTAAGCCTCCCAAAGAGGCAACGCCCACTGAAAAGAGGCACTGTATGGAGGGTGTTTGTGTTTTTGAGTTGGCACCCCTTTTTGGTTGGCTTTGGCACCAAAAGGCACATCATGTATACATACATATATATATAATATTTATATTATGTATTATATATATATATATATGTATTTGGGGGGGGGAGGGGTCCCCTAAAAAGATACACACCCCTGTACTCATTCCTTGAGTTCCTGGACTTTGTATTTTTTGGGAAGATCATTTTAGCGGCAAACACCAAGTTCAGACCAATCCATTCGATCGGATATTGAATATTTTTTAGCTGGGAAAAGGAGGCCAAAAACGACCAAGCGCTTCGTTCGCTGGAGCCTCAGGACCAGATGAGTTTGGTTAGAAATAAATGGGTTCCACTGGTTTAGACCATCCATTTTACCCAAGAGAGCCCTACAACCCCCCTCCCCCCTAAATACACCCACTTAAAAAAGAAACATCGGACCCTCCAACCCCCCCCCCCCGTCTTACACACACCCACTTTAAAGAAAAACCGGAAGAAGGGAAACACACAGACATACAGACACACACACAGACACACAGACACACAGGCACACAGACACACAGACACACAGACACACAGACACACACACACACACACAGACAGACACACAGACACACACACACACAGACACACACACACACAGACACACACACACACACAGAGACACACACACACAGACACACACGCACACACAGACACACAGACACACACACACACAGACACACACACACACACAGAGACACACACACACACAGACACACAGACACACACACACACACACACACACACAGACACACACACACACACAGACACACACACACACACACACAGACACACACGCGCACACAGACACACACACACACACAGACACACACACACACAGACACGCACACACACACAGACACACACACACACGCACAGACACACACACAGACACGCACAGAGACACACAGAGACACACACACACACACACAGAGACACACACAGAGACACACACACACACAGACACACACACACACACAGAGACACACACAGAGACACACACAGAGACACACACACAGAGACACACACAGAGGCACACAGAGAGACACACAGAGAGACACACAGAGAGTCACACCGAGACACACAGAGACACACAGAGAGACACACAGAGATACACAGAGACACACAGAGACACACAGAGAGACACACAGAGACACACAGAGACACACACACACACACATCGGCTCCATGTTTGGAGCTGCGTTTGGATCTCCAGAAACGTCCCCTAAAAGCTTCAGGACCTCCTGGTGTCGTCTCTGGGGCTGGGGGCTTGGCCTTTGGAGCGCCTGCGCCTCGCGCTGCTCCAAGTCGCGGGCCTGGGGCTGCTGCTGTGGTTCGAGGCGCGTCGGCCGAGGGGCCGGGGGGGGGCGGGGGAGGGGCGGGAGGCGTTAGAGCCACCCACCTTCCATGTGGTTAAGAATATTTTTTTTTCTTTTTCTTTTTTTTAGCTATATATATATATGTATATGCATATATATATATATATATATTGTTTTTTATCCTGTTGGTTTTAATGGGAATCGATTTCACTACCGGACATATTTTTATGTTTTTCCAGGGGACTGAAGCAAATGGAGGCCACCTGTCGCCACTTGAGAATGGAATTGGGGAGGGGCGATTTCTGGAATTCCATCAGTTCCATGGTTTCATGTTCCTGTTGGTTTCATGTTTGTTTCATGAAATGCTTGTTTCATTTGATAATGAATTGTGGAATTCCCATTTGTTCCATCTTTTCATTTTCCTTTTGTTGAAGGCAGGGGATACCCAAGCACAGGGCTAGAAGTTGCGGGTGGATGGTCGGAGGCCCTCTCAGGTTTCTGGGCATTTTTTGTGTGGTAGGTTGGGTAGTTTGCTGGGTAGCGCCAGGTAGGCTGTCCTTGAAAGGATACATTTGGGCCCCCACGACGCCCAAGTGAAAGCAAGTTCTTCGAGCCCAGATCAGCGCCACATCGATCTACCCAACTACCCTCTCAACAACCAGGTCCATGAGAATGGCCTCCCTTAAGCCTTCAAGGTGAGGGCCCTACCACCCGAAATGGGGCCCTGGTTGATTTTTGTTTTGTTTCCAGCCATTCCCAGTGTGCAAAGATGGGGGAGACCCAGACAACTGAAAGGTCCCAACCCGTTAGGTACCAAATGGGTTATGGAGCCGCCCCATGGGCGGTTTCGTTTTGGCTTCCTTACAGAGGGTGCCTTCAAACAAAGACACCGTGGCCTGCAATCAGCCCGACTCAGCGGGCTTCACCACTGTTTGCCTTTGCTCGTGTTGTGTTTTTTCTCTGAAGATCGTGAAGGCGTGTCAGAGATGATCTGCAATCTGTTGGATGCCCGGCGCTGGCTTGCAACCTCCACTGCTTCCCAAAGTTTCCAAAGTTGCCCGTTGCCGCCTCGGAAAAGCCACAGGCCGCCGCGAACAAGCAAGCGAGGTAAGTGTTAGATTTGTGCCGGTTCATTGCGCACCTAGCGGTTTTCCCGAGCAAACTAAATCGTCCATGAGCCCAGCGTGACATTTGGGCAACTAAAAGGAGGTCCCGAGCTTCAATCCACCATGCAAGAAGTCTCTCGGTGAGTTGGCAACCTGCTACAGTGGGGCAGGTATTTCGGCACCCGGCGCTGCGGAAAAGCGCGTGCGGTTCTGAGGCGTGCGTCTGGTCGAGTCTGCTGGGGTATCTCCTGAAATGGGTCTGCCTGTTTTAGAGTTCGTACCTCTGTTTTTTTGTGTGGTTTTTGGAGGGACACCAAGAGGACAACCGCCATTTTGGGGGGTCGCCCCCCCCCAAAAAAAAACAGTTAGAGGAACCCCGCATTCAGAGAACGGAGAGAGGCACAAGAGCGAGAAGAGAAGGAATCCAGAAAGGGCAAGGTGATAGAAGACGTCGGCATCGTAAGCTGTTCAGATTGGGAAGTTGGTTTAAGCACCATTCCTGGTTCAGTACAAGCTCTCACTGAGGTCGCACAGCCAGAGAGGATCTGGTATTTCAGATTATTTGCCACTATCAAAGTCACCCCTGAAGAGGTAGGTGAAAGGGACACCACCACCACAGTTTCTGATAGTGAGTGCGCACAGAAAACAACAATTTAGTGATGGACATCATATTGAGGTAATAATGCTGGGACGCCTACCGCTCACCCAATTCTTGCCTGTGTGTGAGATGGACGGGTGAAGGAAGGTGCATTCCCTCCTTTGTCCATTGTATTTCCCATTTAGTCCTTTTACCTTCCTGTCGTGTCATTGTAGCAGTGGAAACGTTGGGAAATGCATTGGGTGATTGCTAGAAGCGACGGACGCGTTGGGCCATTTTTCCACCGTTGGTTCCATCTTTTCGTCCATTCGGTTGACCGTGAGATGATGAGATAGAGATGCACGAATCCGTCCTTTTTACACGCTCTCGGGAAGCGGTCCAAAGGTGGCCAAGGAAGAAGATAACTAGCAGGCTTACAGCCCGGAAAGGACTTCAATTGAATCACACTGTCCATTCTCAACTCTCACTCCCAACGAAGCCTCAGCCATGACAGAGAGCCGAAATTATTTTGGGGAGTGGGATGGAATAATGGTATGCCGTGAAGCGCGAATTGTGGAGGCAACCAGAATAAGCATCAATCATTAATATGTGTTCTCTTTCATAGCATTGTGATACTTTCGTAGAAGTTTAACACTATTGTCTTCATCATTATTCTATTTGTCTATCCAATCTTTACTTTGTCTATATATTACGCATCTTTGAGGTAAATTGCTGGAGAGAAGAGAACCTACATTCTAAGTCTTACATTATACATCATCTGATTTTGTGCATCTTCTCTTATTTCTTGTTTCCTTGTATCTATGCCATATTTTAGTTATCCCTGTTTCAACCATTTTCCTCTTGGGTTGAGCCCTGTGAAGGCGAATGAATGGGGAATATTCAATAATCAAGTTGTCCTTGTAGGAAGACCCAACGACAACATTTTAATGTTCTACCTCTCACGGAATCCTTGCTAGAATCCATTATTTGTTGTATGCTGTCTTTTTAGCAATTCCTTGACATCTAGGGCGGAAATCTAACACGAAATAGAGATATGATACTCTTCCTCTGTTTATCATTCACGTGATTGCCTGTCATTGTATTCTTGCAAAGCTCAAAGTTACTACAGCTAGAAAGGCTCCAAAGGAAGCCAACAAGACTTTGAGTTCTTGTTCTTCCTCCGCGGTTTCAATAATTGCAACCCCTCTTGAGATGGTGAAGCGCTCAAGCGAGGAACATCCAAACCGAGGGCCCAAACCGGGTCCCAGGCGCTCGAGCAGTTGGAGCCCGCGAGAGAGCGACTTCGACAGTCTGAGCAGTGAATTACCCTCCCACCAATCAACATGGAGCCAGCTGTTCGGGGGTCCCTTTAGGAGAATGGCGATTTCCCAAACCAGGATTTCCCGAACGTCGGGTTCCAGATCGGTGGGAGGGGTTTGAACGTCTTAAGTGAAAGTCACCCCACCCACCCCTCCCCACCCTATCCCCCACCCTACCCCACCTCACCCCACCCCTCCCCACCCCGCTTTCGGTTGCTTTGGCGCAGGGTGCCGCCGCCCTGCTGGCGGAGCGCGGCAGCGCGCTCACCATGGTGCTGGCGCGCTCACCCGATCCCGATCCGAGCGGTGCCGATCCGATGGGTGAAGGTTCAGGGAGTAAGCGGAAGGTCTGTTGATAGGAGGGGTGTCTCACAAAAGAGTCCGGAGCACTTTTGTGGACACCTGATCTCGGATGGGCTTAGTCTGGTGAGATCTCGGGTGGCATCAGTTGGGCCGGTTTGAAAGGAGTTTCTGTTTGATGCTCAAAGGAAATCGGCCTGTTCGCGGCCTAGTCTCAGTGCGAAAAGAGGCGTTTCATCAACCAGCGCCAATGATGGAAAGGGAGATGGGTCCGGGGAGGAAAGGGCTTCCATTAAACCCCTATCCTCAACGAAATGCCTGATTGCAGGCTTTTCCGGAACTTTGAAGGCTAAAAGCAACTTGGCCTTTTGAAGCATTGCCTTTTCCAGCAGACCACAACAGTAAACAACCATTTTTTGGGGCGACAATGTTCGGGTGGACTGTACAAGACCCCTTGGTTTTTCGGGAATATGGACTGCCCTCGGACGTTGTTCCTCCCTTCAGTCTGCCCCCAAAGGGCCGCGCCAAGCTGAATGAGTCTGGCTCTTTCCTTCAGAGCCCGGCTTCGGCTTCGGCGCCGCACTTCATGGTTGTCGTTGAGAAAG